CACACTGCCTCCAAGAGCATTCCCATCACCCACAAAGCTCCCTCGTGCCCTTTAGCAGTTACACCCTGGCCCCACCCCAGCTCTGGGCAACCACAAGCTGGCCTTTATTTTCTACACATTCACCTTTCCTGGACACCTGATGTTAATAGATTCACCTCGTGCTGTCACTTCTCTGAACTGTTGTCTTTCCCACTGTACCACACTTGGATCACCTTCAAGTGATATATATATATATTTACCCAGGATGTTTGTAGTTGTGAATGCTTGTAATTCCAGGACTGGAGAGGTTGATGAGGCAGGTGTTCACAAGTTCTAGGTCAGTCTAGGTTATATAGTGAGAAGTACCTTAAAAAAATTTCTAGAAGCCAGGGATTAAGGCACACACCTTAATCCCTGCACTTGTGGGGGCAGAGGCAGGTGGATATCTGTGAGATTGAGGCCAGCCAGGTCTACACAGAAAGTTCCAGGCCAGTTGGGACTACAGAGAGACCTTGTCTCAAACACCATCCTCCCCCCCAAATATGGTGTGATAACTTTCACATGTATTCTTGGTACTGGGAAGGCTGAGACTGGAAGATCACAAGCAAATTCAAGAACAACCTGGGCTACCTAGGGAGGTCCATGCCAGCTTGGATTACATAACACCCTATCGCAAAAACACAGGCAACAAAACAAAAAAAATGTGTATGCTCAGGGCTGGGCATATGGTTCAGTTGTAGAGGGCTTGTCTTGCATACATGAGGCCTTAGGTTTCATTCCCAATACCCACATCAAACAGAAACAAACAAAAAAGTGTACCCTTCAACCTATTTTCATCATAAAACGTAACTTTAGGAAATGAACTGAAGCACAAAAATGTGGAAAATGAACAAAAATTGTCCTCACAACTTTATCATAAGGGCAAATACAAATAGTACAAATTTTGTGATTTATTTATAAAGAATATGGTGGCATAAATGATATGATTTTAAATGGTGATAACTGACTTACAAAAATTACTAACTTATTAAATAAACACAGGGAAACTTGCAAAACACTTTCTAGAGGACAAAGGACTCAGTTTCTTCAGCATAATAATGGCACCTAAACCAAAATAGAGAAACTTGAGTCTAGGAAACACGCCAGCCAAGTGCATGGCCGCTGTATACATCCTTATCCCAGCAGCTAACTTTGTGCAAAGGTGACTCTTTTAAAAGATACTTAGGGACAATCAGGTGTTAGATGATATGAAGGAATTGATTTTGTTGGGCAAAATAATGAGAACTAATTAATAACTTTGATTTTTAAAAATCCTTCAGTATTACCAGCAAAAATGGAAAATGCAGATTTCCATGATGTAAGAATAAATGTTTTATACATATAGCAATGCCTGAGAAAGAGCTAGAAAGAAGTACTCAACATTGTAACCACCTTGGAGAATAAACAATGCTGAAATTTTTTTTACCATTCTGCTTTTGCTGATTTTCTTACAATGTACAGACTTATATGAAAGTGGATACAGTATTTCCTGGTGAGGGATACAGCACACAGCAGACTTGAAGTGCCTCTTAGGATTTCTCCAGGTTGTGAAGAGGCCCACAAGAGAGGCCCTGGGAACCAGGGCTGGAGAGATGGCTCAGAGGTTATGAACACTGGTTGTTCTTGCAGAAGACCCGGGTTCAAATCCCAGCACCCACATGGCAGCTAACGAGTGTCTGTAACCCTGGTCCAAGGGTATCCAACAGCCTCTTCTGACCTCTGCAGGCATGTCATGACATGGGTGCACTTATCTAGAGGCAGGCAATACACACATACACATAAAATAAAAATTAAAAAGTTGTTTGTTTGTTTTTTTTAAAAAGGGAGGCCCTGGGAACCAAGAGGCCCGTGTAAGTTTTGGTCCAGTAAATATGAGGCTGTGGGATTAGGCAGGACTCATGGGCCTTCAGTGTCACCCTCAGAAGCCTGTGCTGGCCCAAAGGGAGCTGTTACTTCCACCATGCCTCAGTAGTATTAGATCCAATATGCCCAAAGATCCAACTTCTTCCCACAGCTCCCTCCTCACAATGCATGGAGTGATGGACCCTTATCCTTTCCAGGTTGTGCCTCTGCCTCTGGCTCTATGTAGAGCACTGGGAGGCCAGTCAGTGCCCATAGCAGGACAGTAGTGGGCCCAAACTGCCTGTACCCATTTCTGGGCTTTGCAGACCCTTTGGGACCACACTGTGAGCCTGAGGCCAAGATACCAAACAAGGTAATACCCAAGATTCAAGTGTTTTCAAAGGAAGGCCCTCCCTGACATCCCTGGGCTGCCCTCCCTCCCTCACAGCCCCTCCCCCCTCCCCCCAGGACTTGAACTGAAACTGAAAAGGCTCTTCACAGCAAATCTTGTTACCTCCCATGGAGTCTCACTCCCTGGACCCTGTGTGATAGAGACACCATAACCTATCAGTGCATGAGGAGACCTTAAGATTATCAAGAACAGCCTTTCAATTAGAAAGGGAGGAAATGGAGATTGAAGTGGTGACTTGGTAAATCTCACAGTGAGCTAGTGTCTGGCCCAGGATTAGACAGAACCCAGGAATCAGATCTGTAACAAATCCTTTAAAATATGCAGCATCTCAGAGGCCGGTTGGGTCCAAGAACCAAGCAGCTCCCCTGATTGGAAGATCTGAGAAATCTCTTGGTGGGAATACCATCCACACAGTGCCTGCTTTCAGGTACCTAGGGAAAAAGCTATCTAACTCAGCCAGGACTTTAAAGAAGCTGGCGGGGAGGGTCCGAAGCTGTGGGAGGATTGAGCGACATCAACATAGCAGTAGCTGTGCCAGAGAAGCACTCACAGGTATTAGGAAGGTACATCCCATGGTCATGCTCTCTGAACCAAGCTACTGCACTGCTGTGCCTTCTCCAATCCACTCCTTCCTCAGCCCTTGAAGAAGCTGGAGTGTGGAGGAGATGGACTAGGGATGTAGCACTGACTGGAGTTCATCATCTGTAGCCAGGCCTCTGCTCTAGCTGGTTGCTGACATTGCTTCCTTATCTTTGGTTTCTGAACTTTAAACCTACACTGACATCACGAGCATGGGACAGTTCTGGGGAAAGACAACTATTCAATACATCCTGCTTGTTTCTCCTGCTCCTGACCTCTTGCTTAGAAACCCCACAAGGACTCCGTTATGCAAAATAGGAGTCGAGAGACTAGGAGTAGCTAGCCAGGGCGACTTCTCACAGGCACAGCATCTGCTGTAGCCAAATGTGATAGCAAGATGGAGTTAGCTGCTAAAGTCAATGCACCAGCCTCCTTGGAGGCCCAAGGGGCAGCCTTCTCTCCCTCCCCCTCCCCGCTATCCACAAGATCACCTGCAGGATCCTCATCTGTTCTCCATCCTTAGCCCCACCCCACTCCAGTGCTAGGAGTGCCAACTGGGTGAGGTCCTTGGTGTTGACTGAAAGTAAGCCCTGCCTGATTGACAGAGCACACAGAGGCTACTAGGCCTCCCAAGGTTGGGGAGCTTTGGGGGAATTCATACTCTTGGTTCCGGGACTGATTCACTGAATACCTTGTGAAGGTGGAAAGAATGAATTCCTGGGCTTCCTGCAATCCATTCTGAGATGTGAAAAGGGCATCTGGATAGAGATGTAGAGGGAGACTGTCCATTCTGCTTCCTCTACCCTCTCTGTTCTTGTGTGGGAAGCCATAGCTTGGGAGCTCAAAGGGAAACAAATCCCCTGAACCGCTATTTGGGGGTTTGTTTTGGTTGTGGTTGTTTTTAAAACCTGGTCTCACCATATAAACCAGGATGGCTTCAAACTCATGATCCTCCTACTTCAGCCCTTCAGGTGCTGGGTTTACAGACCAGCACCACTATGTCAGCTCTAAGCTAGTTTTGGTCAGCCCATTCACTCTTCATAATTTCACAGGCATCATGAAGCCCAACTGAGACCAGAAAATGGAGATGTCAAGGCTTTGGCTTAGAAGATTCAACCCAAGTAAAATTGTGGAAAGTGGCACATCTTTATTCTTTATAGTCTTTCTCTCTGTCCCCTCTACAGCTCCCAAATCCTTTTTGGGCTCAGTGGCCTCTCTTTCACATAAATACAATCAGAAGAAAAGTGGTTACTTATAAATTTAACATGGTAAAATCTGCCCTCACCAGGAGGCATCTTTATCAGAAGTCTTTGATCTAGAAAAGAAGCTTTTCTCATTCCATGCTAATGCAACTTTGGGTATCACTAAGCTGGAAGGAGTTTAGCAAGTACCAAATCTGGTCCTAAGGAAATACGACTAAGAAGGAAGTGAAAGCTGAGATGCAAAGCTGCTGAGTGTATGTGTATGTATG